TCTTTTCGCTACTGGTTCCTCATGGGAGACAGCAGAGCCCACCACCAGCTGGTTAGTTACTGTGTCTCTTGGTTCAAGTATTGAGAAAGACAGAATTGGGTTTCCGGCCAACCAACTGAACAAAGGGAAGAGACTTGGTACAAATACGGTGCCTAAACCTGCCTTTCAGCAGGGCCTATGAGTAGGGGAATTCCAAGAGAAAATACCTGTGAGTACTGCAGGCACCAACACACTCTATTTTTTAACTCTCTCCCGCCCCCTAGAGTGTAAATACCATGAGACAGTTTACGACAGTACTTGGCTCAAAATATTTGAGAAAGGGAGGGAGAAAGGAAGGGGTTGGATCAAACTCTAGACTTCCTGGTTTCCTAAATTCACTGTGCAAGTATTTGGAAATAAATAAACATCAGTCCCTGAGAACCAGGAGAAGGAGTTGAATCTAGCTTGGTTCTTTCCCAGACCTGAAATGTTCGGCTGGGTGAAATACCTGTACCTTGCCATAACTGATAAAGTGTGGGAGTATGCACTGTACCCTGATTAAAGCATAATTAGCAAGCAGCAGGAATCCCATTCACTAGGAGAGCTCATCCTACTTCCTGTTTCACTTGCACAATTACCCACGTCACCAGACACTGAAATGACAGTAATGACTCTCAGAATGATACAGCCAGAAAGGCCCTTGGAAACCATTAACCACACTCATTCTACATACGGGGAAACTGAGGCCCAGAGAGAGAGCAAGGGCTTACAAGAGCCAAGGCCAGGTGTCCTGCCTCCAAGCCCAGCCCCACTTGTGCAGCATCACGTGACCCAAGTGAAACCAGCTCCTTTGCAGTCTCTGGAACTCCAGGCACAGCCAACACTATCACCTTCACGTAGTTTTTCCAGCCAGGTCCCCCCATGGTCTCCAGAATAGAAAATGCAATTCAAATAAAACCATGATAGCTGCTCCCTGCAGCTGCCTGTTTCTTAGCTTCCCCTCTCCTCTGTCTTGTTTTGCCCACATTCCATAACTGGCCCTTGACCAGGATAAAGAGGCCTGAGAAGCAGGAAGGAGGAACCAACATGGCAGTGGAAACTCTGCTGGGTCTCATGAATGGTCCCCAGCCACCGGCTGGATTTAGAACATGCCTTTAAGTGTCAGGGTGGAAATAACCCAAACACCATGGAGACAATTCCCTTTGTACAATTACTGGGACGAGCCATGCCACAGAATGGAAGGGTCATGCTCGCTGAGCTCATTTTAGGTTAGTTGTTTGAAACTTGTGTAATATCGCTTTGAGGGGAAAATGGATTCTATGATTGGTTTCCAGGCTAGCCTACTTAACTGATGCTAAAATTGACCTCTGGGTCCCAGGGCATGGAAGCCAGAATCCATAGGTTGAGAGAAGAGGAAGTTTCTTTGCCCGTGGCTTCCTCCAATCCCTCCTGCCACGTCCTCCCAGTGGCTCTGGACCTCCATATTTCCCCATATACCAGAGTGATCCAGGTTCTGATGGCTGCCTGCCCTCCCCCTGGTCCCTTAAGGAGGGGGACAGTGGGCTACTGTCAACCCAGATTTTGGAGCAAGGGGCAGTCTGCTGGAACTAATCCACATGCAAGTGTGAATGACAAACAGCCCCTGAACCAGTGGTTCTGACATGTCAGCGGGCACTAAAACCACCTGGAGAGGTTGTTAAAATGCAGACTCCTGGACCCCACCCCATGACTGTAAATTCAGCAAGGGCTACAGTGGGGACCCGGGAATCTGTGTTTTTAACAAGCTACTCAATTGATTCTAATGTTGATGGTAGAAAATACCATGGAGAAACACTAGAACAGGTGAAATGGCAGGTGTTCATAATTCCAGAGGGATTTTTCTCTTAACTGGGTGGAGAGTCACATAGACCGGGATTCAGGATACTACAGATTTAAAAAAAAAAGGGCAAAGGAGCACTCCCTGGGTGAATTACCTCTGTGCTTCCATGTTGTCTGCTGCAATGGCATGGCTCAGCCATCAGGAAGCTGTAACAACAGGAGGGTTTCTTGTAGATTTCAAGAGCCTCCATTATTCGTTTGTGAGGCTCCAAAGATTCTTGCCCATTTGGCTTCTACCTACCCCTAACAGAGTACTCTCACTCATGGTATTCACAGGGTGCAACGCTCAACATCATCAGGCATTCGGGAAATGCAACTAAAAACCACAATGAGATACTGATACCTGCTAAGTTGCCCATAATCAAAAAAAGGAAAATAGCAAGTGCTGGCAAGGATGTGGGGAAACTGGAACCCTTGAACATTGGTAGTGGGAACGTAAAATGATGCAGCCACTGTGGAAAATAGTTTGGTAGTTCCTCAAAAAGTTAAACATAGAGTTACCATATTACCCAGCAATTCTACTCCTAGGTTTAGACCTAAGAGAATTGAAAGCAGGGACTGAAGCAGTTACTTGCACGTGAATGTTCATAGCAGCATTATCCATAGCAGCCAAGAAATGGAAACAACCCAAATGTCTATCAATTGATGGATGGATAAACAAATTCTGGTCTATCCAGACAATGGAATATTATGCAGCCATAAAAAGGAATGAAGTATAGATTCATGCTATGATGGGGATGAAGCTGGGAAACATGATTCTCAGTGAAAGAAGCCAGACACAAAAGGCCACATATTGTATGAGTCCATTTCTATGAAATGTCCAGAATAAGTAAATCCATAGAGACAGAAAGCAAATTAGAGGCCACCAGCGGCCGTGGGAACGGAAGGCTGTGGAGTGACTGCTAGCAGGTAGAGTCTCTTTTGGGGGTGATGAAAATGTACTAGAACTAGAAAGAGGTTGCACAACATTGTGAATGTACTAAATGTCACAGAATTGTTCACTTTAAAATGTTAATGGGGCTCCCCTGGTGGCACAGTGGTTAAGAATCCACCTGCCAATGCAGGGGACAAGGATTCGAGCCCTGGTCTGGGAAGATCCCACGTGCTGCGAAGCAACTAAGTTTGTGCACCACAACTACTGAGTCTGCGCTCAAGAGCCCACGAGCCACAACTACTGAGACCACATGCCACAACTACTGAAGCCCGCACACCTAGAGTCCATGCTCTGCAACAAGAGAAGCCACCGCAATGAGAAGCCAGCGCAGCGCAACGAAGAGTAGCTCCCACTTGACGCAACCAGAGAAAAGCCCACACGCAGCAAAAAAGACCCAACGCAGCCCAAAAAATAAATAAATAAATAAATAAAAATTTTTAAAAATAAAATGTTAATGGTTGGGACTTCCCTGGAGGCCCAGTGGTTAAGACTCCTTACTTCCACTGTAGAGGGTGCAGGTTCAATCTCTGGTTGGGAATAAGATCCCACATGCCGCGCCGTGCAGCCCAAAAAAAAAAGGTAATGGTTAATTTTATGTTAATTTTACCTGGGGTGGGGAGGAGCAGAGGCTGTAATCAAATTTCCCAGGTTCCACACCGAACTCTGCCTTATGACCTTGAGTAAACTCTGTGCCTCTGCTTCCTGCAAAGAGGGAAAGCTCTAAGGGGGCTATAATAGTTCCCACCTTACAGGGCTATTGGGAGCTTTAGATGAGTTAATGTTCCCGAAGTAACTCGGAAAAAGGCGTTGGCGTATGGCATGATGGTAAATGTGTGCCATGATTCCATCACACAGACCCTACCCCCCATTACACATGCAAACCAAGGCTTGTTCAAGTTCACACAGCAAGTTCAGAAGCCAAGTCAGGGTTGGCACCCAGCTCTCATGGACTCTAAGTCCATGCTCTTCCCCTGTCAACAGTCTGACTTGATCCCTGACCAAATCTTGACACCTCGAGGTCCCAATCCCTGGCAGCAGCACAACTTCTTTCTGGTGACCCCACTCGTGGTTGGTTGTCAGGCCTGCCAGCAAGGCAGAAACAATAAAACCACAACTGTGTTTGCTTTTTCCCCATTGAAAGCTTTGGCCACCCTAGGGGGACTTTACCCACCAGCAGTCTGGCAGCGACTCTGACCCAGTGGAGAGCTTTTCCCTTCTCTGTGCCCACAACCATCAAGTTCTAGTCACAGAATGTCCCTCTTACCATGGACATTGGAGACATCATCACTATCTTATTACAGTCAGTAGGGTCACCCAGAGGCTCCATCTCCCAAGAGGCAAGGGAGTGGACACTCAGCTCTCTCCTTGGATCTTTCAGCTCCCTCTTTAGACTGGCCTCCACGTGCAGTCCCCTTTTCACTGGTGCAATGTAAGATCACAGGGGTTTTTTCCATATCTGATTCAATTGCTATGTTCTCAAGAACAATCTAGCTTACATTCCCCCAGCATCTGTCTTCTTTCCCTAAGCAGAAAGAAATAAGTCTGCACCCATCTACATCTAGAAATCCTTCCTGGGACTTCCTTGGTGGTCCAGTGGTTAAGACTCTACACTTCCAATGTGAGGCGGGTTTGATCCCTTGTCAGGGAATGAGGATCCCACATGCCACGTGGCAAAAAAAAAAGAAAGAACGAAAGAAAGAAAGAAATCCTTCCTGATTCCCTTGGTTGCTTCAAACAGTGCAGCCCGTGGGAATCCTAGGAGAAACCCTGGGATGTTTGCCGAGAATCGGGCCCACTGGGTGTTCCATATAGAATCATATCGTCACAAGCAAATGAGGAAACTCATCCCACAGGAAGTGTCCAAATCCCAGGTTCTCAGCTTCTGGACACAGAATAACCCAAGGAACTTGGCCTCTCCACCCCCTGCCTTCCCTGCTCCCTCATCAGCTTCCACCAACTTCTCCCAGGGCTGTGAGGTCTGTTCCAGGGAGCAGATCCAATCTGACAGGTGTGAGATGTGATGACCCTTCCTTTGTGGCTGCCAATGTTTGCATCCCAGAGAAACAAGTCTGAAGCCCAGAGGGACAGCCCCAGGATTAAGTAGGCCAACCGGAAGGATGCTGGGGGAGGTGGTCTTAAGAACACATGGACACCCCTGGCAGCATCCGTTCATAGAACTTAACAGTACCTTCTCTCCTTTATTCCCAAGGTTGCTGGATCAAAGATCACAGAGTCATTCACAACATGATGTTTAACACAGAGACACTCTGGAAGTACTCCATCAAGACCACACAGAACAAGACTGAGTGGTGGGACAATGGCATTCTCCCCCTCTGGATCACAGCCCAGAGACAGGTACCACCAGAAACCCTGGGCTGACTTCCTGGGACATCGTCTCTCATTCCTAGGCATGTGGGTGGCGGGTTAGACGTTGTGTGGCCTTGGGCAAATGACTTAACCTCTCTAAGCATCTGTTTCCCTAAATGTGGTATAGGGATCATGATGATGCTCTTATTTAATAGAGTTCATGTAAGGATTAAATAAGATGTGCACTTAAGGCATATCTCAGTAAGTTTTAGCTGTTATGGATGGATGAGGCTCCATGAGGGCAGAGTTGGCTTAATCATGATTGTTCCTCCAGGGCTCATCATAGGGTCTGGACCCAGCAGCTCTTTAATAAATCTCTCTTCATACACTTGCCTCTGACTTAGGCATAAAATCCCTTAGGAACAAAGTTGACCACTCAAGGCATGAAAAGCTCTGATGAGAACATTTGCTTGAAAGTATCCCAGCAGCCACTCATTATTGCTTTGAAAAGGCAGAAATGAGATTTGTGCGTTGAACTCCCAGCCCCAAACCTGTTGCCAGCTTTTGCATTTTCTCAATGAGCTTCCAGAGTCATCACTTCAGAACAGATCCTCCTCCTCTTCCCCCAAGACACCAGCCTTGGCTCCAAAGCTTCCTCGGGTCCTGACACTTCATCTCTGTGCTCCCAGCCCATGCCGTGCACATTACATTGCAAGGGGGTATAATTGCAGCAGCTCAGAACAGTCTGTGGACTTATACTCCCAGAGCAGGGTCCAACCAGCTCCACCCTTCTCCAGCTATGTGACCTTCAGCAATGACCTCCACTCTGTGCTTGATTTGCCCCACCCATAGAATGAGGATGGCCAGAATCCCTGCTTCATAGGCTTGTTGGAAGGATTAACTGTGATAACGCATGTAAGTTGTTTGGCACTAACTGCTTGAAATGATCATTCTTATGAATGGAAGCTGAACCATTTTAGCAGGACTTCAGCTACAGGTCACTACAGCTCTAGGCCAGAACTATCCAATGGAACATTCTGTGATAATGGACATGTTCTATTTTGCATGGTCCAATGTGGAAGCCACAAGCCACAGGTGGTAATTGAGCCCTTGAAATGTGACTGGTAAGACTGAGAAACTGAATGTTTAATTGTATTTCATTTTAATTAATTTCAATTTAAATCTAAATACTACACAGGCGAGGCGCTACCATATTGGACAACACAGCTCTAGAAGAATCACAGGGGGCTGTCAATGACCCTACTCTACCTCAGGTTCATTAAGTGTTGGGCTCTAGAGTCCTTCCTCTTTGGTCACATTTTTTTTTTTTTTTTTTTTTTTGCAGTACGCACGCTTCTCACTGTTGTGGCCTCTCCCGTTGCGGAGCACAGGCTCTGGACACGCAGGCTCAGTGGCCATGGCTCACGGGCCCAGCCGCTCTGCGGCATGTGGGGTCCTCCCAGACCTAGGGCACGAACCCGTGTCCCCTGCATCGGCAGGCGGACTCTCAACCACTGCGCCACCAGGGAAGCCCCAACATTTTTAAACTTTGAGGCACAGACCATGCAAATAAACTGTCCATACAAGAAAAATAACAACCATAACACTCACCAGGCCCTGATTTAAGTGCTTTACGTATATTAATTTATCACAACCCTGAGGTGCTAAGGTTATGCCCCTTTAACAAATGAGTAAACTGAGGCACCAGGTGATACCATAACTTCTCACAGTCACAAAGTTAGTGAGAGGCAGAGCCAGGATTTGAACTCACTCTGGGTTCAGCAACTCTTAACTCTTAACCATGACATAATATTTCTTCAGTGGCCAAAGCATTTAGTCATGGATTTCGAAGTGAATCTTGTATCTGCCTAGCTGTTAAGAAGGTCTGGATAGTCTTCCTTAATTTACTATTCAAAACCCAGGGCCTCTCTTGCTAAGGCATTCGTTCACTGGCATGAGGCTTCTGGTGGCATTCTCCCTTCCTGGTGTTTTCTTATACATGGTTCTTGTCTCCTTGTCATTTATTTGCAGGGCTTTGTTTCCTCCTGCTCAATTCATAATCAGAGTGCTTTTCTTCTTTGCTGAATTCATAAGCGGTTGTGCAAAAAGAGGGTCTGGTGCAGGGCCAGGCGACTGACAACACACCACTTGTTTGGCAAGCGAATGTCAAGTTGGTGCATCGCGTTCTGCCATTAGCAGCTCCTGCCCAGGACAGGGCCATCAGCCAGCTCCCTGAGGAGGTGGTGCAAAAGCTCCTGTAATCAGAGCAAACCTATGGCCCCAGGTCAACCCCTCCCACCCCAGAAACAGGGGGACAAATGCCAAATGCCATTCGGGGACACATCTGCATTGTCGGGCAGGGCTGCAGGAGAGTGGCCTGCCCTTTACCCATCATTGGAAAATTCCTTCCTTCTCCTGAGTCTCTTCCAGGCAGGCTTTGTGGAGACTGATGCGTTAACCTTTAATAGGACTAAAATGTTTTCCGTCAGTGACATTAATACTGCCAGAGTCCATCATGATTCATGAGAATCGGTGTCCCTTGGCAGATGATGCCTAGGAGATGGGATTCCCAACCACTTTTGTCTCCACCATCCATGGTCCACTAGTGTATCCACTCCATCAGGACTTCCCCAATGGTCAGGCTATGAACAGAGAGGCTCCAATGAGAGCAGGCTGGGATTTTAAATGAGCTCCTAGGATAACTGAACCTGATCAATGGCTGAGATGTTTCACCAAGTTCAGTAAGCCCTACTTCTCAGAGAAAGGCAGACAGCCATGACTGTGAGACCCAGGAAAACCATAAAAACCTAGGAGCATGTTCCTCCTCTCTATGGAAGAGCCACAGATCATATTAAGATGTGAAATGGCAGAGGGATGATATGGGTGAGATTCTCATGTCTTCCAAGACCGGACCATGGTAGGCTACCACCAGGAGGGGATTTGGAGAGAGGGTGGGGAGGGCAGCTACGGTTCTCGGTGTCAGCCAGGTCTCCAGACAATAGCTTCCAAACTTGGAAGAGTTGTGAGAAAGAGGGTGCCGTCAGCTTCTGCTTAGAAAAGTATTAATAGAAACATAATGCATCCCAGTATTGGCTCAATCCGTGTCTATCACACATCATAAAGATTCTGAGAATAATAATCCGACCTCCGAAAATGTGTGGGAGGGGGAGAAAACACAGAATCTTGGCCATCTAGCTTCCTTCTGTTCAGTGACGCCTCCAGAATACAGAAAAGCAATGAAAACACTCAGAACCAACCTCAACTTCTGAATTTCAAAAACATGGAGTCCATCTCTTTCCTCTCAGCCATTCCCTAGAACAAGTAACTAACTCCTTTCCCTAAACCACTAAATATACTCTCCACCAAAGCACAACTGTGATGAACACTTCACAGGCCTTCCTAAAACCCGTGCGCTTTTTGACATTAATTCAGTCCCCTAAAAAAGGAAACAAGACAGAAAAAAACAAACTAAAACTCTTTCCTTAATGATTGGTTCTGAAGAGTTTTGGTAGATTCTGTACAAAACCCAACAGTCAGGCTTTGCCATAAGAAGTACCAACTCTTGTTTTAAAGAAGCAACTTAAGAGTAATAGCCACACTGATGCAACACTACACTAAGGAAGGATAATGCACCCAGTAAAACTAGCGATTTTCCAACTGCTATTGCTACTGGAAACACTGATTATGCTAATTAAAGGGTAGAATAGTAAATACCCACTCTTTTGCATCCAATTAAGTGCTGAGATTGTTTCTCAGAAGTAGAAACAATCTGTAGAAAATAGCACTTTTGCTTATCATAGGTCCCAAATAAACAGAGTCAATCGTGTGTGTGTCTGTGTCTGTGTGTACACATGCTCACACACACATTTCTCTCTGAAGCGCATTTCACAAAGCAGCATAAATCCTCAAATTCCTATGGGACCAAGTGAGAAAAATCACAGTTTCCTAAGACTACAGCTTGGGATATCTTTAAAGAAAGAGTATGTTTTGAGAGACTTCCCTGGTGGCGCAGTGGTTAAGAATCCACCTGCCAATGCAGGGCACACTGGTTCAATCCCTGGTCCAGGAGGATCCCACATGCCGCAGAACAACTGGGTCCGTGCGCCACAACTACTGAGCCTGTGCTCTAGAGCCCGCAAGCCACAACTACTGAGCGCACATGCCACAACTACTGAAGCCCACGTGCCTAGAGCCCATGCCCCGCAACAAGAGAAGCCACCACAATGAGAAGCCCGCACACCCCAGCGAAGAGTAGCCCCCGCTCGCTGCAACTAGAGAAAGCCCACATGCAGCAGTGGAGACCCAACGCAGCCAAATAAATAAATTTAAAAAAAAAAAAGAGGGGCTTCCCTGGTGGCGCAAGTGGTTGAGAGTCCACCTGCCATTGCAGGGTACACGGGTTCGTGCCCCAGTCACGGAAGATCCCACATGCCGCGGAGTGGCTGGGCCCGTGAGCCATGGCCGCTGAGCCTGCGCGTCTGGAGCCTGTGCTCCACAACGGGAGAGGCCACAACAGTGAGAGGCCCGCGTACCGCAAAAAAAAAAAAAGAAAGAAAGAAACAATATGTGTTGAGAACACAGCACAAGAAAACAATTTCAAGTTGGGAACATCTGAGATTTAACATGCTGGATATGCAGGGCTGTCTAAGACCCTCACAATGTCAATGTCAGCTTATTCTAAATAATAAAATAGTCAAACTATGTTCTACAAAACGTTGGAAGCTTCATCCTTCCAGTCAATTCCATACTTGACAGCAAAGTCAGTTTACATGGATGTTAAAGTACCGTCGCTAAAAACTGAGAATTATGTCTAATGCCAATCAGAAGTGCAATAAATATTAGGGGATTTGCAAGTTAAAGCAACCATAGAAATTCTAATATCAGAAAGGAAAATGTGTTACCTGTAGAGGTTACAAATAAGATGCTAGAACCCAAAAGCGAAAGCATTTCTGTAACTATTTCCATAAGTTAATCAAGAGTGAGAATAGGATGGGTTTTCCACCCCTAAAAGGAGACATGATTCATGCATTCATTCAACACACATTTAATCAGCAGTCAGCACTTACTCTGAGCCAGGCCTGTTCTAGGTCCCAGGAAAAGTACGTTCAACAAGATCAGCACAGCCCCTGATTTCCCAGAGCTCACATTCTAGAGGAGGGAGCTAGATAGTAAAAAAGTGAGCAAATTAAGGTAATTTCAGGTTGGGGAAAGTGCTTTAGAGAAAATAAAACTGGATCTCAAAATAGGAAATGAATGCTGGAGGGCAGAGGGGACAATATTTCACCTACAGCTATGGATAGCAGAGCTTCTGGAACCTCGCAAAGTACTTAGTATTAAGACTTCTGTCTTAAGTCAAGCTTCCTAAAAGCAGAGCCTGAGGCAGGGATGTGGTGCTCATAATGTATTGAGGGAGAGTTCTCAGGAGATGGGAGTGAGGAAAACTGACAGGGCAGGAGGAGGACCTAAGTGAGACGTGGCCTCAGCTGGAGACCAGCTTCAGCCTGATCTCACGGGGAGCACTGGAACATGAATCGCACCCCCAAGTCATCCCACCCTGAAGCCAGGGAGCTGGCTTTATGTCCTGAAGTCAATCACTGGCCATGAGCTGCTGGGGATAGAGGAGCAGTATAGGATACCTGCCCAGGTGAGGCAGGACTTGGCCACTTGGCAAGGGAATTTTCCAGAACATGGGGGAACTGAGAAACATTAGTAGCCACCCTCACAGAAATGTGTGTGGGTGCAGGCCCAGTAAGGGGATCTTGGTGGGGTACCAACAGCATCCCCTACAACTTCCAAATTTGTTTCCTGCTTCTCTCTCTCAAATGGTACATGGGAAGTTTTGGCATTATGCTTAGTTATACTTTTCTGCCCATTTGTAGACCAGATAGCCACAACCCAGGTGCCACTATCCCACAATTCTTCCCTGTAATTTGTTCTCCATACCAAATTGATACCGTTACACCAGCACCCTCTCTTGGTTCTTTTAAAGCCAATGAACTTTACAGTGTTTTTCATAACATCCAAATCTTGGGTGATACAAGAAGTGTCCCAGAACAGCCCTCAAGTTAATAGCCAAGATGAAGGAAAATACTTGCTCCCCAAATAAGCAGGTCAGTCTTTCATGGAACCAGAAATCTATCAAGCTCATACTATGTGCCCAGTCCTGGTTGAGGAGCTGCTTTACAACAGAAACTATTTAGTGAGATGGGTCCATCTTATTGTTAACTCATTGGTGAGTGTACATAAAATTATTTTCCTAACAATTTTACCAAGCTTTGTCAAAATCTAGCTTTCTGCTGGGGAGCAAATCATTTAATATTTTCATGACTTTGAAATCACTTGTGTTGTTAACACAGCCTCATTTTTGGTCTGAAGACTCAGTTTGGCTCAGAGTAAATCCTTCACCTTGTAACCAAGTCAAAGCTCTGCTCCCCCGCATGCTCCCTACCCTCACCGTAAACCCTCTGGTGGCCCCAGCAGCCTGGGGTAGAAGGAGTATGGTCTACTCCTCTCAGGCCCCTCACACCTCTTTCCCTGGTTTACCCACTGGTGACAAGGAGAGGGAAGAGATGGCAGCTCCTCCCATGATGGCTTGGTGGTAGGCCAGGGCCCTTTTCCTGTTGGCTGTAATCTACTGCCCTGTGTAGTTGCCCATGGCCTGACATAGAAGGTGAAGGTCACTGGGCCCCACTGACAAGGGCTTCAGGGTCAAGCAGCAACCCCAGGCCCTGCCCAGGCCTTATAAGACTCAGCTGCATTTCATGGCTGACCCACCCCATTCCTCTGACGTAAGGAATCCCATGCCCCATGCTGCAGCCATTTCTGCCATGACTGGAGGCTCCAATCTCATCTTCCTTCTGCAGATTCCAACCTTGGGGTCTACAGGCACATTTCAGATCCACCTTCAGGACCCCTCAGGAGACAGAAACTGGAGGAGATAATCATTGCCCCCTCTTCATCTGACCATGCGGTCTGGCCCATTGCTCTTTGTTCCTCTCCAGGAAACTAAAAGCTGAGCTCATTGAACACTAACATGCTCCACGTGCATTTAGTCCTCACAACCACCATACAAGGTGGCATTAACATCCCCGCTTTACAGATGAGGAAACAGAGGTGGAGAGCATCTGAGTGACATGCATCCAAGTGGGAGAGAAAAGATAAACCCAGGCAATCCAGCATCGAGCACACCTTTAACTGCCCTATTGTCTGCCTCTGGGTTGGGCGTCAAGCCCAGTGGCTGAGCAGACATCTGCACAGGAAACAAGATGACAGTCTCCCCTTCACACAAACACCCCCAAATTTTATAAACATTATACATGGGAACCAGTTAGGCAGATTCTCCCCTCTCCAACAGCCCCAGAGGAAATCCACAGATCTTATCTCATTGGCTCTGACTGGGACCTGGGCCCAAGGCTGAACCAATTGCTATGGCCAGGGGATGCAGCGTCCTCTGACTGGCCAGGCCAGAGCCACATCCCACCTCTGGAGCCTGATGTGGACCCAACACATCTTGCATGGAGCAAGAGTAGGGAGGAGAGCTACCAGGGGATGTCAGATGCTCCAAACCAGCAGACAGGGGAGGGGGTGCTGGGCAGGCAATCATAATAGCTGTCCACTGCACACACCGGGGAAGGCTTGTGGTGGCTTCTTAGGTCTAGAGGCAAAGAAAAGAGTGCCTACTACGGCCAAAACACAGTGCCCAATACTTTATCTTAAAGTTACCTGGATTAACCCTCACAAAAATCCCATCAATTTTTTGGCATTTTACAGGTAGGAACACTGAAGCACTAAGAGATTAAACTCACTCACCATCACCAACTTAGAAAGTGCCATTTTTCTTCCATTCTAAGGAACTGTTTTTTTCATTTTGCAGTCCCAAATTGGAACGCATATGCCAGTCACTGGAGTGTCGTGGTTTCATAGGCAGCATTTTTCTTCGTAGGAGCACATAACATAACGGCAGTTCTCACAGTTAACGGTGTTTTAGATTCCACGAGATCCTGGCGATGCCAGGAACGAAGCCCAATCCTGTCCGACTCTGAAGCCACATGTTTTCCATACCTTTGGACTGGGGCAGGGATGCTGACACGTTGGACTTTGCACATTATGAGAAAGATAGGAGAAATGGCCCTGATAGACTTTTCTTCTTGCACTTGCAGGGGAGGAAAACAGCGTCATTCCACTATCCCGGGGGAGGCGCCAAGTACAAAGGGGAGGCCGTCCAGCGGTCCCTGGTGGAGCCGTACACCGACCCAGACAGCAACGAGACGGAGTGGAGGGAGAACACTGATACCGTCATGAACTGGTTCAGTAAGGAAGACTTTGGCTTCGTGACTCTGTACTACGGAAAGCCGGATAATGTGGGACACCGCTTTGGGCGCGAGACAGAGAACAGGAGGGTGATGACTCAGCAAATCGACAGAACCATCGGGTACGTGTTGGAAGCCATTGAGAGGCACAGCTTGACTGAGTACCTCAACGTCATCATCACATCTGACCACAGCATGACCACTGTGAAAAAGAAGCCCAAAGTCACTGAGATCCTCCTGACCAACTACATCAGCTTCAGGGACTTGGTCAAGTTTGATATTGTGGACTATGGCAGCTTTGGGATGCTCCTGCCCAAACCAGGGCAAGAGGAAGCCGTTTACCAAGCGCTGAAAAATGCACACCTTCACCTCAATGTCTACAAGAGGGAGGAATTTCCAGAACGCTTCCATTTTGCCAAACACGAGTGGGTCTTGCCAATCGTGATGTATGCTGACTCTGGTTATAACATCAATGGGGTGAGTAGATTCTAAAATGAATAAATTCCATCTTGAATTTGGAAGGCAGTCACTAGGGAAGGACCGTTCTGAAAAAAATTAAAACATAAGTGCATGCATGATGAGTTGCAACCCACTGTTTTCCAAGTGTTCCCCACCCCCCACCCCATATCCCAGACAACCCATCCTGTCCCACGTTACCATTATGCAATGATAATGACACACATCCCTGACCAAGGTTAAGTGTCCAGGGCTATGTTAAAAATTTAACATGAGTTATTTCATTTTTGTCTTCCCAACAACCCTAAAGATAGGTATTCTTATCTCCCCATTTTAACGAGGAAGAAACTAAAGCTAGAGAGAAGTGATTCGGAATTAGAATTGTAAGGCTGATGTCTGAACCCAAGCCTATGTGTTTGATCATTATGCACAAATCACCAGGAGATTGACCCAAAAAAACACCTTCTGGTTTCCATTTGCATATATCCAGAAATACGCAATCCTGTTCACTTAAAAATTTATACACAGATGCCCACAGCAGCATTATTCATAATAAACAAAAGGTGGAAACAACCCAAATGCCCATCAACTAATGAATGTGTAAACAAATTAGGGTCTATCCATACAGTGGAATATTATGTAATGATTAAAAGGAAACAAAGTACAATACATGTTATAATTTGAATGAACCTTGAGAACATTATGCTCAGTGAAAGAAGTCAGATGCAAAAGACCACATATTGTATGATTCCATTTAAATGAAATGTCCAGAATACACAAATCTATAGACACAGGGCATAGACTGGTGTTTGTCTAGGGCCGGGGGAAGTTGGAGGGAATGGGGAGTAATGGCTGAAGGGTACAGGCTTTCTTTTTGGGGGGATGTAAGTGTTCTAAAATTGGTTGTGATGATAGTTTCACAACTCTGTGAATACACCAGACATCACTGAATTGTATACTTTAAATGGGTATATTGCATTGTTTATGAATTATATCTCAACAAAGCCATTATGAAAAAAATAAGGAAGCCTAAAGAAGAAAGTACCAAAGTCAATGCTAATTGTGAGACATAAGTAAGGTCTTTTTTTTTTAACTACTAACCAATAATTTCTGGCAGAACAAAGTTTAGGTGTTCAAAACATCACGTGACAGAAGACCATCCCAGGTACAGCTTGAAGAATCCTTGTCTAAGGCTATGAACAGGAGTCAAACATTATGTTTACAATCTGTATACTCAGCTTGCTACAAGTCCAGAGTATAACATGTATGGGAAAACTCATAAGCTTATTGTTTATTGTTAGTGGAAACATTCACAGTAAAATGCAACACTTTATTGGTATTTTGTAATCCTTCAAGTGGCCTGGAGCTAATAAGGCCTTGCCAAGAACAGATTCCATAGTCACTGGCCTCTTTTTAAACCTGGTTCATGATGTAACAGGTTGAGAGGGATGTTAATCAAACAGTCATATTCCCAGAGTGACCAACTAGATAGTCTGAGGGACAGGATGCTGTGATCAGTTTAATCTTCCAGAAAACTGACCATTAGACAGAAAATCCTTTGGGCCTCAGTGCTCTCGTTGAATCCACTTCTCAGATTCCCACCCACCTGCCTGCCTTGATGGGCGTGACTCTTCTCACTTCAGGACTGAGGAGCTTGCAAAGCACATGAGGCCATCACTGGGGGGCACTTAACAGTTCTTAACAGGCTGCTCCATGGCCTCAAAGGCCGTTGGACCAGTTTCTTTAGACAGGTGAGGGAGCCTAAGCTGAACAGACAAGAGCTTTCTATACTGAACAAGCCAACTAGGAGACCAACTTTTCAATATACAGAGCATCACATGTCTTACATGCCAGAATATACGTTGGTCCTAAGAAAATATAAACAGTGCTGTGCTGTGACTGATGTTACCTAGTCATTTGAAAAGGAGGACAGACAAAAACCTACCCAGCATTCATTAAACAATTACCTACAGTCCTTACTCCCTCCTCTCTAATCCTCTCCCAGACTCCAAAATGATATAGATAGATAGATGCACTTCTGTGCCTTAAGAAACATACCTGGCTCTAGAACCAGTCTGGGTTCAGATACCTGCTCCAACACTGGCTACTACATGACTCAGGGCAGTTTCCTCAGCTGTAAAATGGGGATGATAATGATAGTGCCCTCACTTTAGAAAGCATTCAGAACAATTCACAGTACATACTAAGCCCTCTATGTTTAAGCCTATTATAACTGTCAGTATTACTATCTTAATGCTGTTTCTAATGGGTATTTTTTCTTTATTCTCTTCCTTAAAGATCTTCCATTCCTTCCTCTCTCTGCCACTGCAGACAGCAGTGTCCTTCCTTATCATTTAAGTTTTCAAAGACTTCCTGGATCCAACAAGCATGACATTAACTAAAGGGCAGTTTTCTTTCAGGGGACTGGAATCTAAAATGGCTCTTTTGTTATTATTTTTTAGCAAATTATATTTCAACAAAGGAGATCATGGCTTTGATAATGTCTACATGGACATGAAGATCATATTCAGAGCTTTTGGGCCAGATCTCAAGAAGAATCACCTGGCTGAGCCTTTTGACAGCATCCACATCTACCCCCCTCATGTGGAAGCTCCTGGGGGTTACCCCTGTGCCCCACAATGGCTCCCTGGCAGTCACCCAGGAAATGCTTATAGACGCTTATGACCAGCAGCCAGGTGTGATAAAAAAGCCACCACTAAGAGATTGGTAGTGTGTCCTGAGACAGAAAAGATTCAAAAGGGGGTTTCCTGAATGTGGGAAAAGTCAAGCAGAATAATCCTGTTTCCTGGCAGCTTCAGTGCTCCCAGCACAAGATTATCAACAGCAGCTCTGAACAGGTAGCAGAAGAAGTAGGAAATCCCTCGCTGTGTTGGTGACATTTTATATAGTGCCTGTGGGGCAAGAAGGAAGGCTCTCCATAGAGGAAGTCAGGCGATAATCCTTCTGAGCCTCAGCAAGCATGCATAGTCTGCGCCCAGATACCCCTTGTAGATTCTGAATAGCAGCCTTCCTTCAGCAACTCTGTGCATGCGGGTGCCTGCAGGAAAGAAAGCTGCTCACAGGGGAAGAACGAAGCCTTAGCACTCTACTCATGGCTAAAAAGAGGGGCAGGGGTTCCTGTAAATGAGGTTGCGAATTCTGAAGACTTCAAAATCCTAAATCTGGGTGATATAAAGGAAGAAAGGAAGCATCTCTGGGAATTCATTTGTTTACAAACACTGGCCAGCTTTTCTTTTGCGGGGAGAGACTTAGAACACTGCCGGATGATTTATCAGATGCTTAGAGCAACCACACTTAATTGAAATGGAGTACAAAGAACAGCTTCCTGCACCCTTTTCCTTTCTTCCAAGCCACTGCCCACAATCTTCTTGTGAATTTACTGGAAGCAGGCTGTTTTGGAGAAAACTAAGTGAATGGATGGCAATTCTCTAAGTTATTGAGAAATTTTTTTTTAAGTTTTAGAGTTTTGCTACAACTCTTTGGCCCCTACCGCCTGTCCCATAGTCCTGGGAGCCTGAGGTAAGGTGTGTTTGACCACCAGTTACTGATAAGCAGGACATCCCACCAACTGATTTTCAGCAAATTGGCTTTTGGCAAAGTGGTCACTAGGCAAATGGGTCATTTGGCGAATAGGTTGTTTAGTAAATCGTCTTTCAACGACTTGCCCTAAGAGATTTCTCTACAGTGAGCACTTCCTTGGGTTAAATGTACATTTTGTTTCCATAATTAATATTCACTAGCACCTCAATGGGAAACTTCCCAAGGACCCAGGAACAGCCTCTTAATCAGATCATTTAAAACCATCTGATTTTTTATTAACAGGAGTGGACATGCAGAGGGCATCTGCTCTCCAAAATACAGCTATCGGTCTCGGGATTGTCGCAGGAGTTCTTGTGGTTCTGTTTGTTGCTGGTGTGACATTCACGGCCTTTGGTTGGAAAAAAAGTGAGTAGTCTCTGCGGGTTTTCTGTGGTTGATCAGTGCACATAGTAATAATCCATTTCAACCACTTCCTGAGTGCCTAGGGGTCCAGCACTTTGACAACCCAGTAACCAGGGATATCCTCGTGGGCTTGCATCCTGGACAGTCGTACAGGGCCCAGGACTCAGAACAGCCCCCAGCTTGGTCTGATCTCAAAAATCTTGATTTTTTTTAACAAGGGCCCCATTTTCATTTTGCACTGGGCCCCAAAAATTATGTTCCAGTCGCATGCGCTTCCCAGGGCTGCTGTAACAAAATACCACACACTGGGTGGCTTATAACAACAGAAATTTGTTGTTTCACAGAACTGGAGGCTAGAAGTCTGAGATCAAGGTATCCACATGATCCCTCTGAAATCTGTAGCAGAGAATCCTTCCTTGCTTCTCCTAGCTTCTGCTGGTTGCCAGCGATCCTCAGCATTCCTTGGCTTGTAGACACAATCTCTGCCTCCACCGTCACACGGCCAACTTCTCCCTGTGTCTGTGTCTTCACATGGTGTTCTCTCCTCTTATAAGGACACCAGTCATGGGATTTACGGCCCCCTGTATTCCAGTATGACCTCCTCCCATCTTAATAATACCTGCAGAGACCTTATTTCCAAATAAGGTCACACTCCTATGTACCCGGGGTCAGGACTTCCAACATATCCTTTTGGGGGAACACAATTCAACCCATAACACTGGTCCTGCCACCAACCAAAGCATTCTGTGGACCTGTTGCACCTTTCTACATTTCCAAAGTTATATAAAGAGACTGAGCCTCCCGCAACCCTTATTACACCCAATCCTGACCGTTCCTCTACGTTCAAAGAGCCCCTGACTCAACAGCAAGGGGGCCTCCTGAACACTGTAAACAGCCTAAGGAAAGTCAGAACTTTACTTAACCTTAACTCCATTACAAAGCCCACATTTAACGTAATTTATATTTGAACTATAAAATTTTCCTATAAGTTGAAACATGACCTATAAAGGTCTCTACACCCTGAAGCAACATTTTAGAAAGAAATCAGTTGGTCCTTTTCTAGAGAAACCATTAGCCATAGGAGGGATAAAGGAAAAACCTCAAGGTACTGATTGAATGGCCAGTCCCACAGCATAATTTCTAAAAGGCAACCATTCCATACAGTTAAAATGCATTAGCTTTTTATCATCATCATTAAAAAAAGCCTCAAATCCAGAGGCTGAATCTTTACTATAACATGTGCACGTACACATCTCCTCTGCCACTGACAGGACTGATTGGATATACCCTAATGCTTCTTGAAACATCAACACCACCTGGAATTTTCCCTTTTTATGTTAAACAGCAGTCCTAATCTTCACTTACACCTGAACACACCACACCTGTGAGGTCCATGGGACATACAAATCCCTTCAGTGCCTTGATCCTTCCAAGTTCAGATCTGAGATGTATTACCTTATGATCTTTGTCCCCACACCAAGAGCCCGCACACAAAGATAAAGGTATCTTCTGTGTGCAGGTCAGTGGTGTGGCCCACTCAGGGTTCTTCCCCAATCTGCTAGCCATCTATGGCATCAGGAAGGCTGGACCAGCCTAGATTTATTAATATCTTAGTATAACATCATGCAGTATCACTTACTCTGGTGTTAACTGTGCATGCCCTTTTGCTCCTCAGAGGAAAGGTAATTAATAGCTATTATGTGTGTTAATAGAAAGTGTGGTATTTATGAGTTTAACTGACCCATTCCTCTTGGTGTTCACTGTCTACTGCAGGCAGAAAGCTGATCAAAACAGCACAGGTGAACCAGTACGCCTGACCAAGCTCTGACATCGTTCCTTCAGGACAAGATGCAACCATATCATATGTCAGGTGTTTCTACCCCAGGACGCTGTGACTCAAAGGATTTATGCAACATCTCAGACCCAGAAACCTTTAATTCCGTGTAAAAACACAGCAATAACCAGAGTCCACCCTCTTTATAAATCAAGTGTTGACGGAATAAGACAAACAATTTTTGTGTCAGATGCTGTGCTCACGTGGTTCTGGTGGAAGAAGAACAGATATAAGAGAATAAATGCATTCAATTAGAATTAATTCTCCTCTCTCGTTCTCATAGCTGAGCAGGGCTCAAGTGTTTCTCATCTGAAAGGGGTAATAAGATTTCATCTGTCCCCCTCATCTACCTTGTGCAAGCACATTTAACAAATTAGCTCCCAAGACACTTCCAAATGGAGTTTTATGAGAGATTTGTGAAGGTAAATGTATTAGACTTTGAACACAGTTCAAACTCCAGAGGCAGCACCAGTGCCTTTCACTGTTCTGCTTTTCACTCAAGACATAATAAGGTCAAATGAAAGTAATTTTTTTCTTTTCTTCCCATCCCCACCTATGTACCACTCTTACTCTTCTTCCGGATTCCTTTCCCTGCAAAGTCAAAGCTACTACTCTAAGCCCTCATAGTTCCATGTGCTCACCGGCATGGTACATATTGCCATTGTACTTCTTTATTTGTTTGTGTGATAATTAGTTCAATACCTACTTCCCGCACGAGACCCTGAACCCCTGGAGAGGAGGAACCACTCGGGTTCTTCTCACTGTTGCATCCTCAATGCCTGATAGTGCCAGGCACATGGTTGGCGCTTAATAAGTATTTGGTGAACGAAAGACTCTATGGGTTAGAAACAGACCCTAACTGGGGTCTGAGGCTGGGGGATCAGGGGCTCCTACCTTGTGTTGGAAGACGTCATTGAGAGGTCAATGAAATCGAGGGTAATCATTGTTAAATCCATCACACCTGCAGCCTGCCTTTATCGCTCAAGCTCGCTTTAGTTTTTGCTATAAAAGACTGGCAAGTCCTCTAAGCCTAAACAATAAGACGTAGCCTAAACAATAAGATATAGCCTAAACAATAAGATGTTTGCCCGAGTTGTTTTCCAGGAACTTAGAATCAGCTGTCGCTAGTTCAAGCTGGTTAAGACTGGTTAGGACCACCGACCCTCCAACTGGGCATGCGCGAGTGTCCGTTCGTTGACCTTCTGACGTCAGAGGGCCAAAAACCCCACCCTCAGAACCTGCTAACCATTTTCTGGACAAGCGTCCCATGAAGATGCCTGTAGCTCATTTGCACCTGCGTGAAACGACCATTACCTCACATTTTTCCTATTTACAATCGCCTTACCCCACGCCCTCCACGTCCTAGACTACCCTGCTTCTTTAGCCCATAAATACGCCAGCCCCTCACCCACAGGGAAGCAGGTTTGAGATTTGTTTTCTCGTCTCCTCATGCGGCTACCTTGTGAATAAACCCTTTCTCTGCTGCAAACGTCGGCGCCTCAGCGTCTGGCTTGCTGCGCCTCTGGCAAACGAACCTGTTGGGTAACAAGGTGACCGCCGGTCCCGGTCAACCAGGGTCTCCTCACCCCACCACGCCCTCAGAAGTACATTCTGCCCCCTGTTCCCACAACAGAAGCTGTTTCAAGAATGCAGCCTAGGGAATTCCCTGGCAGTCCAGTGGTTAGGGCTTGGCTCTTTCACTGCTGGGCCCTGGGTTCAATCCCTGGTGGGGGAACTAAGATCCTGCATGCCGCACAGCTCGGCCAAAAAGAAAGAAGAAAAAAAACAGGCTTGAGAGAGCAATGTTCTGTGGAGATACTGGACTGTGTACTGACTGGACTCCGTTAAGGCTTCGCTATAAACTGTTAAGATTCTGGCAGGAGGGTGTGGAGAGGCAGGACGTCATTGAGAGGTCAATGAAATCGAGGGTAATCATTGTTAAATCCATCACACCTGTAGCCTGCCTTCACCGCTCAAGCTCGCTTTAGTTTTTGCTATAAAAGACTGGCAGGTCCTCTAAGCCTAAACAATAAGACGTAGCCTAAACAATAAGATGTAGCCTAAACAATAAGATGTTTGCCCAAGTTGTTTTCCAGGAACTTGGAATCAGTTGTCTCTAGTTCAAGCTGGTTAAGACTGGTTAGGACCACCGACCCACCGATCTATTCTCCTTGAGGTGCCCACGACATGCCTCGTAAGTTCCCTCACTTATTAAAACTGCCACCTACCAACCTGGAGGGGCCTGCTGCTTTCTTCGGTCTCTCCTTGCCCCCGTGTACGCGGCAGTTTGCCAACCAACACCTTTGCCTCGGTGCCTTTTACCAAGGCGAGAAAAGTCTGCGAAAGTCTGAGCCCACCGGCCCACAGACCTGAAGAGACGCCCGCACCCGAGGCTGAGCTTGAGGGCGCAGTCCCAGAGGGGTTGGGGGAGGGCTAGGATTAAGCCCAAGGGACGACGCGTCTGCCCAGAGGGCTCCTGCCAAAAAAGACCCTCGAGAAGGCGCTGGAAGAGCGAGAATGGTTACCCGGCCCTTGGCCTGACTGGGAGCTCTCGCCGCCCCGCCCAGCGGAACCTGGCGCCAAACCCTGACTCCGCCCCCACCGAAACCCTGGCCCCGCCCCTTCCGACCCTGGTCCCGCCTCCCAGGCCCCAAATCTGCCCCAGAGCCCGCCTTCAGGGCCCGCCTCCAATTTTCCCAAGTCCCGCCTCCCAGGACCCCTGCAACGCCTCGACCCACCCCCACCCCACCTCCGCACGCACCTCCGGCTGGCACCGCCTGCTGAACCCCGGCTCCCTACCTAAGCCCCGCCTCCCAGGATCCAAGCGGCGCCTGGCCCCGCCCCAAGCCCCACCCCGGCTCCACGCGTTGCCACGGGCCGCCTCCCGGCGCAGCCCCGCTCCCCCCTTCTCTCGGGCAACGCCGTGGCCAGTCCCCGCCCCGCCATGGCGCCTGAGGAGATCGCTGAGGCTGCGGTCCTGCTGCAAAGTTTCGAGCGCCGCTTCTTGGCGGCGCGCGCCCTGAGCTCTTTCCCCTGGCAGGTGGGCGGTGGGGAGCGCGGAAGGCGGATGGGGGGCGCCGGGGTCGCGGTGGAGCGGGGCTCCGGCCTCACCCCTGCTCGCCCCGCCACGCGGCGGCCTCTGCTCCCTCGCGGGCCCCGGCATCACGTCCGGTTCCCCGGGCATCGCTGGGGCCAGCGCGGGCTGGCGGCGGGGAGCAGGAGGTCCACCCCAGCACCCTTGGGCCCACCCTGCGCTCAGCCCCCAGCTCCGTCCTCCCCTGGGCCCTTCCCGCCCTCCGCTGTCTCTGCAGACCGAGTCCCACGAATTGAAGGAATGCGGGGTTTCCTCCCAACTCCTTTTTTCGCTGGGTTTTTAGGGTCATGGACAGTTTGTGACTTTTTTTAGCCAGTTATTATCCTGGCCATTGGGTAACAGCTGCTGCTGCTCATTTAAACAGCCCACGTCCTCAGGGCAGCGGGAGACCACGCTGCGTTGAACTCAGCGACCAGGTCACAGACCCCTCGGGCCTGGGTGTTCTCATCTGTGTCAGCAGCATTGGACAAAGCCCTCTCAGAGGCAGCTGATGGAAGAGACAGGGAGGTACAAAACAATCCAGGAAAGAGACGAAAGAGCTCACTTCCCTGCCCTGGGGACCTGCCATTCACACAGAGGCGCATGGCCGAGGCAGCAGCTTCTTTCTGCCAAGTCCAGGGCTCTAATGACGCTGCGTCCTTTATAATCCATAATTCAAGTGCGGTGAACCCACTGGGATGACTCAGTTTGAACATATATTCCTCCCCAGGTCTGCCCCATCTTAAGAGTGGAGGTTAGTCATTTGTGTTTCATTGACATAAACCATTTAGCATTCTGGGAGATCATTTCCCGTCAGAAAGGAATGTGTACATTTTTTAACCCCAAATTTAAACCTTCATGACAGCATCCATTGGGCCCAATTCATATCGACTATAATTGTTCATGAGTGAGTGCTTACTCTGCACCAGTCCCATGCTAAGTGCTCACTTAGGCTCACCCACAGCACCCATGTGGTGAGAACTATTCTTACCATTGTTTTGACTAGAAAAGAAGTTGACAGCAGCATTGGAGCACTCAGACCTGGGAGACAGACAACCTGCTTTGAATTCTGGCCCTGCCCCACCCCACACAAGCTGTGTGACCTTGGGCAAGTGACTTCGTCTCTCTGTGCCTTCATATTCTTATTAGTAAAATGGGGGTATAATGATACTTAACCTCATAGGGCTGTTGTCAGGATTACATGAATATGTGTTAGCTAGTACTTTTTATTCTGTCAACGAATGTTTACAGAATGCCTTCCACAAGCCAGGCACCAGTATCAGCAGAATACAGACAAAGCCCTGATTAGATGGGAGAGCCAGAGAATAAACAAGTAAATGAATAAGCAAGAAAACACGGGGAGATGATGGTGGCTGGAAAGTCAATAAAACAGGGAAATGCATCAATTTAGGAGAGTTGGGAAGGCCTTCCAAGGAGGTGACAGGAGCCGGGACCTGAACAGTGAAGCAGCCATCCTGCCGTGGAAAGGTTTCAGGTTGCCCACCAGGTGTTAATGCTGTGGCTCCCCCTGTAATTCCAATTCAGCCACAGAGCTGGTCTGTGACCCAGGCAAGGCTAAGCTGCCAGGGCTAATGCAAACCAAGAGTCTGTCTTCTGATGTTCTTTCTCTGACTCATCCAGGTGTAACCCGGAACTTCTCAAGGTCAGGCTTTCAGCTGCCTGTGCCTTCCACATCATTTGGCCCCAGGTCCCTGGGGAGAGATCACTTAGCACTTTGCCAACATGTCCCATTGCATGTTTAATGTTCCTGTGATAATGCCCTTGAGATTTCTTTCTCTTCCCCCTCTCTCTTTGAATAGAGCCTAGAAGAGAAATTAAGGGACTCATCAGGTCCTGAGCTGCTGCTGGATATTTTGCAGAAGGTAAGAATCACAGAATCACTGGAACGCATCAGTGGCCTGATTTGCCCATGAAGACGTAACAGGTGCACATGTATCCTTTAAAAAGAAAGACGCTGCATCTGGGTGTGAGCACCTCAGACAGCTCCGGCTCTTTTGTTTTCTTAGATAAAGACATCAGAATATACAACAAGCTGCATGAGAAGAGGGAACCTGGGGGATGTTTTTTTAAACCGTCCACAGAGAAAATGGAGATGACAGCTGTAGGAACATCTTCTAGCATTTGCTAGCTGCTCGGAGACTTTTTTTTTTTAACGTTTAAGGGGAAAAGAAGCAGGCAAGTCTTGCCCACCCGTGTGTCTTTTCTAGTTGTGGATGGGCCCCTGCTTTTTGTAGGTGGGGTTTGGACTCTAAGGTGCATCTGGGTGCGGGTAGAGGAGGGACCACCACTCTGCCCGGCCTGTCCCACTCTGCCTGCCCCTGGCCATGTGGGTCAGGTGTACATCACAGTGCATCCGGGCTCTCTACCCTCTTACGGGCCATGAATCCTTCTGAAAACCCAAAGGTGTTGACACTACCCCAAGGAAAAAATGCTCCAGAAGAGTACATTTTGTGTACAAATACATGGGAATCATACACACCCCTCCAACCACTGGTCCTGTCCAAAGAGCCCAGGGTCAGAATTCCTGTCTGGAGGGTGAACCAAGAGTATCCATCTGACCACCGTGTCGAGAAGATGCAGCCAAGCTAGGGAAGATTCCCAGGAGATCCAGCAGTTCAGGACTGTGAGCTCAGACCTCTCTGAGGCCATTGTCATGCAGTCTGCTCTGATTTTTCACCCCAAGGGTAAAACCTAACACCCGCCAAGCCCCTGAAGAGTTGTGTGGGCATTTTGTTGCCCTTGAGTAAAATCACGTCCCTCCGGCCAGCAGGTCCCATGTGACACAGGCCCTACTCTCACTGTTCCCGTCCCCTGCCCTCCCTCCCAAAATGCCAGGTGGGGGCCTGCACAAGCTACCCAGCTGCCTGGAACTCATTCCCCTGCTCTCTGCTTCTCTCAGCTTCAGCCGAAGTATTGCCCTCAGAGCCCCCGTCCCTCTCCACTACATCCCAGGCAGAGTCCCCACCTTCCTCTGTCCTGGTCAGCGCAGCACCCCACCCGGGGGTGTGATCTCCAGGAGGGCAGGTGCTGAATCTGCCTTGTCATACCATTTGGAGTTCTCACCCCTTCCTTGGAGCCAGACAGTCCCACATTTGTCCTCACTACAAACTCTAGTTCCTGCTGGCTGCTCTGGGAAGGGGCATGTCTTAGTCCTGCTATAACAGAACCCCACAGACTGGGTGGCTTGTGAACAACAGGAATTTATTTCTCACAGTTCTGGAGGCTGTGAAGTCCAAGATCAAGGTGCCAGGAGATTCAGTGTGTTGTGTGGCCCCACTTCCTGGTCCAAAGATGCTGTCTTCTTGGCTATGTCCTCAGATGACAGAAGGGGCAAGGGAGCTCTCTGGGGTCTCTTTTATAAGGACACTAATCCCATTTATGGGGGCTTTGCCCTCATAACCTAATCATGCCCCAAAGGCCCCACCTCCTGATATCATCTCAGTGGGTGTTAGAGTCAACATGTGAATGTAGAGTGGACACAAATATTCAGTCTACAGCAGGGTGTTAGCCTGAGTCCGTATGCCCTATATTCCTGCCCAGAAAGGGCATTAGAAACACTGCCATGGTCTGTGCCACTGTAGTGGAGAAATATTTTTAGGAAAGGGCTTATATCTTAAACTCTTTCAGACGCATAAGGGTCACCCAGGGCCAGAATTCCAGGAATCGGATAACTGGGGTTTGCCCTGTATTCACTTGAAGCTCATGGGAGACTTAAGGCGGAGTCTCTCCAGCAACCCACACTGTGTTCCTCGTCACAGACCGTGAAGCATCCTCTGTGCATGAAGCATCCACCGTCAGTGAAGTATGCCTGGAGTTTTCTCTCAGAGCTCATCAGAAAGGTCAGTGATGGGCACTGTCCATCTGGTAACCAGGCAGCATCTAGGACTTGGCTGGCTCTCCAAACGTGGGCTTTGCCTGTTGGAGCCCAGATCCATCCCATACTCTTTGCCTGCTCTACAGATCCCCGTATAGCAGGGGGCTCCCTGGGCAACTGCTCCCAGCTGAGTTCCACCAATGAGAAGCCATGGAGGGGGAGAGGAAAGGAGGGGCCAGGGTACTTCCTCTGTGCTTTGAGGGGTCTCCAGCAGTGGCTGCATCTCCTCTGTGGTCCTGGTCCCCCATGGAACCTTCCCACTCCTACCAGGAACCCCTGAGTGTGGGAAATGCCACCTTCTCCTTCTGTCCTGCCAGCTCTCACATATCCCATTTCTCCTGCCCTACACTACACCTCACCCTCACCCTCTCTACACCTCTCTTTGAGGTCCCCCAGGTCCCCCCACCAAGTGATCTGTATTAAGTCAATCACATCCCAAGTCTCCCCTCCAAATTTGGTGAAAATCCTCCAGCCATTTTTACAAGTCATAGTAAAAGCAAACAGGTGGGGGCTTCCCTGGTGGTGCAGTGGTTGAGAGTTTGCCTGCCGGTGCAGGGAACATGGGTTCGTGCCCCGGTCCGGGAAGATCCCACATGCCGCGGAGCAGCTGGGCCCTTGGGCCATGGCTGCTGGGCCTGTGCGTCCAGAGCCTGTGCTCCACAACGGGAGAGGCCACAGCAGTGAGAGGCCCGCGTACCACAAAAAAAAAAAAAGCAAGCAGGTGGAACCTTGGTTTGATTCACGAGGGTCAACTTAATCCTCTTGCTGAAGCTCTCGCCCTGCCCGCCCCCAGCACGAGGCTATCCACACGGAGCCTTTGGACGAGCTGTACGAGGCGTTGGCGGAGGTCCTGACGGCCGAGGAGCCCACCCAGTGCCACCGGAGCTACCTGCTGGTAGGAGACGTGCGCCCTCCTCCACACACACAGTTGATTCAGGCTCCAGTCAGCCTCATGTGGCTTCAATCCTGACTCCAGCTCTGTAGTCTTAGACGAGGTCAGTTAACCTTCCTGAGCCTCAGTTTCCCCACCTGTAAACCAAGCACTTCAACAAATAACACCTGTCTTACGGGGTAACTGGCGTTAAATTAGGTAACACACATGAATTGCACAGCAGCGATCTGGCGCTCAGACCTCAATAAATATTTGATGGATGGTTGTTACAGGACAGCAGTCTCTCCCCACTGTCCACTGCCACCATCACCAGGCTGACCCGGTGCTTGGCCTTCTCACTGGTCACCTGGCTTCTTACCCCACAGAAGTCCATTCTACACACAACAGTTTTTGTTTTCTTTAACCTTTTATTGTAAAACAAAGATACAGAAAACCATGCAAAAGAATTAGATTATCGAATTGTTGCAAGGTGGCCACCATGGTAACTGCCAATCTAGCCAAGGACTTGGGCAGCCAGCCCACAAAGCCCTCATTTGACCCATCCCAGCCCTCCCTCTCTTTCAGAGTAATCACTGAGGTCGTACCACTGCCATGTGCACCTCTGGACATAGTCTTGCCCATTAACTAGGCCTGGCTCAAAATTTCCCTTCATCCACAGGTCCCCCCAGTTCTTCCTGGCAGTTTGGCCTGGACAGCTTTCCACAAGCTGGCTTTTTGTCGCACACACATGGTGCTGTTCAGCTTGTTCCTCTGTCCTCTGTTCCCCAAAAATTGGCGGCTGGATTCACAGGCCCACTCGGACTCTTGTCTGTTTGACCCCTTTGGCAAGAAAACAGCCTGGGTCCTAGAAGTCACGTCATCTCTTTTTTATCCTCTTCATGGTAGCACTTGTGGGTGCTTAAAGCTTAGACTCATTAATTCATTGAAGGATGCAAAAAGGTGATTTTTCTTATTTATTTATTTATTTGTTTATTTATGGCTGTGTTGGGTCTTCGTTGCTGCTCACGGGCTTTTCTCTAGTTGCAGTGAGCAGGGGCTACTCTTCGTTGCGGTGCGCGGTCTTCTCATTGCGGTGGCTTCTCTTGTTGCGGAGCACAGGCTCTAGGCACACGGGCTTCAGTAGTTGTGGCACGTGGACTCAGTAGTTGTGGCACACAGTCTCAGTTGCTCCATGGCATGTGGGATCTTCCCGGACCAGGGCTCGAACCTGTGTCCCCTGCATTGGCAGGCAGATTCCTAACCACTGTGCAACCAGGGAAGTCCCAGTGATTTTTCTATCATTTTGTTTTCATTCATTAGCTGGAGAAATTTTATAAGGAAATGCCTCCTTTCATCCGTATTTGGTTACCTACTGGTACAGCTAGTAGAGGAAAGGCAGAATACAGACTTCTTTCCTTTTCAAGATAGTGAATTGGTTTCCTGTCATTCCCAGTAGGGGTTCAAACCATTGCAAATCGCATCGTTACTGAAGCTCAAAGTGTGCTATTTTGAGTCACTTCAAATAGACTTCTTTTTTTTTTAAGTAATTTTATTTTATTTATTTTTGGCTGCATTGGGTCTTCACTGCTATGCATGGGCTTTCTGTAGTTGTGGCGAGCGGGGGCTTCTCTTCATTGCAGTGCGCAGGCTTCTCATTGCAGTGGCTTCTCTTGTTGTGGAGCACGAGCTCTAGGTGCACAGGCTTCAGTAGTTGTGGCATGCGGGCTCAGTAGCTGTGGCCTGCGGGCTCTAGAGCGCAGGCTCAGTAGTTGTGGCGCACGCACTTAGTTGCTCCACGGCATGTGGGATCTTCCCGGACCACGGCTCAAACCCGTATCCCCTGCACTGGCAGGCAGATTCTTAACCATTGCGCCACCAGGGAAGTCCCCTCAAATAGGCTTCTGAGTCCTTTGACATCACCTCATAGTTTTCTTACTTTAGTTTATGTCAAGCTTTCCCAGACTCATCTTGTATGTTTCCTGCCCCAGACCTGGAATCAGCCATGTCTTCAAGAAGCCCTAGTTTCTTTTAGTGGGAAATGATATTTAGAGACCACAGTCTGGGCATTAGGGATGATCATTGCTGCTGTCTAGGCCTTTCCGTGGACAGAGCTAGGATATGGGTGGAGATACATATCCATACTTTTTAAGAGAAAATACCTCATGAGTCCATATTGATGTTTCTGATACAGGATCAGAAGGGTTTTCACTCAGCCTCTTCTGCATTGGATCCCTATCTCCTTTCTTCTGCTCTGGAAATTTTGGTTCTCAAGAGCATGGGGATGATGTTAGGATATCCCCCAACTGCCTTTGGCTTATCCCATATTATTCGTGCGTGCAGCGATCTCAGAACAACAGCACTAATCCCTCACACCAACCGTGGTTACTGAAAACAGCATAAATTTTTATATGTGCCACCCTCATTCTCCCTACATAGACATCATAGAGCCGTTACATAGTATTACCACAAACTAAGCAGCTCAAAGCAACATAAATGTGCTGTCTTCCAGTTCTGTAGGTCAGAAGTCTGCTGGGCTCAGCTGCTTACTCTTCTTTGAGTCTCACAGAGCTAAAATCAGGGTATCTGTAGGACTGGGCCCCCAGGGGAGGACCATTCCAGGCCCTTCAGGTCATTGGCACAATTGCGTTTTCTGCAGCTGCAGGAATGTGATTCCATTTCCTTCCTGGCTCTTGGCCCAGGATTGTTCTTAGCTTCTAGGAGCCGCCCTGTCCCCCTGACTCATGGCCCCTTGATTCCAAAGCCAGCAACCACCTCAAATCCCTCCTGCCTCTTTTTCTTCTGCATCTCCCAAACATCAGCCCTGATGATTAAATCGGGCCCACTTGGATAATCCAGGATCATTTCCCCATGTCACGTTCTGTAACCTTAAATGAATCTTCAGAGTCCCTTTGCCAAGAAGCACAGCACAATCACAGGGTCCAGGGATACGGGTGGAAACATTACCGACCTCAGGCACATACCGTAGTCTCTTACTTTTCAGTATTGGTCCATATATTGATGTCTCTGTAGCCATTTTGGTTGTCTCAAGTTCATTTTCTAGGAGGTTCTTTAAGAAGGGCTCGTCAGATGGACCTTCCCGGACTTCTTGCATGTTGATAACAGATTGAGCCATTTTTACTTGAATCTTGACTCACACCTTCTCTCCTTGAGTCTCTTAAATATATTCCTCCACTTTCTTTGGCATAAAGCATCATTGTGCAAAAGCCTGATGATAATTTAATTTTCTTTCCCTTTTATGTCACATGCCCTTTTCTCTTAGATAGCCAAAGCATTTTTTTCTTTAAAGTCCAGTAATTCTATTAGACTACGTCTCGAGGTTGTGATCGTTCTGAGTCAGTGACCTCAGGTGCAGTGTATACTCTTTCAATATTCATTTCAAATCTGTTTGTTTTCTCAGGAATGCTTTCTTGAATTATAATTTTTAGTATTTGTTCTTTGCTTTTGTTTCATTAAAAGTACCTAAAAATTTGTGGCTTAAACAACAGAAATTTATCATCTCACAGTTCTGGAAGCTATAAGTGCAAAATCAAGGTGTCGACAGAGTTGTTTCTTTCTGAGGCTGCGAGGAAATGATGTGCCCCAGGCCTCTCCTCAGCCTGCAGATGGCCATCTTCTCCCCGCGTGTGTGTCCTAATGTTCTATTCGTATAAGGACACAGTCAGATAGGATTAGGGTCCCCTTATGTCTGTATTTTAACTTGATTCCCTCTATAAAGACCCCATCCTCAGGAATTCCCTGGTGGTCCAATGGTTAGGACTCCGTGCTTTCACTGCCAAAGGCAGGGGTTCAATCCCTGGTCGGGGGAACTAAGATCCCGCAAGCTGCACGGTGCAGCCAATAAAAGAGGAAAAAAAGAACTCATCTCCAAAAAGGTCACATTTTGAGTTGCTGGGGCTTAGGACTTCAGCATATGAATGTTGGGGGGAAACGATTGAACCCATGACAATCTCTTAATTTCTTTTTGATTTTTAAAATTTCGCTCCTTTTCACTTCCTGTTTCTCTTTAAGGTTTATCTGTTTTTATGTTTTGGTTTGTTGTTATGCTCATGCTTTTTTGAGTAGCCTTTATTTCTGAAATGATGTTTTCTGTTATTGTCACACATTTCTAAATGTTTCGAGTAGCCATTCAGGCCTTGCCTCGGGGCCCTCACACCCCCACTACCGGAGCAGGCAGGTTCCCTCCTAGGTGGGCTCTGGGGTCACTGTCCTCGGGTCTACCACGTGCCCTGTTGCTTCCCTCTTCTGTCCCCACTGACAGGTTGAGCTCACGAGGGTTGTGTCACCTGCTCAGAACCCGCCAGTGGCTCCCCATCACATTTAGACTCAAATCCTAATTCCTTATGTGATCCACACCTGCCCTGATTGCTGGATTAATTCTCTCTCCCTTTTTCTGCCTAGCCCTCCGGGGTCTCTATCACACTCTGCGAGAGCACGGCCATCATTTCCCACGGCACCACGGGCCTGGTCACGTGGAATGCCGCACTTTACCTGGCGGAGTGGGCCATGGAGAACCCAGCGGGCTTTGCTCACAGGTGACCTGGGGGTGCAGGGCTGGGCACCAGGGAGGTTTGCCACAGGGGGATCACAGACACAGCCGCTTCTCCCTGTCATGCAGGACTGTCTTAGAGCTTGGCAGTGGAGCCGGCCTCACGGGCCTGGCCATTTGCAAGATGTGCCGGCCCAGAGCATATGTCTTCAGCGACTGTCACAGCCGTGTCCTCGAGCAGCTCCAAGGGAACGTCCTTCTCAACGGCCTCTCATTGGAGCCAAATGTCGCCGCCCTGGCCCAGCACCCAGAACACGACACCGCCGATGCAGAGAGCCCCAGGGTGACGGTGGCCCGGGTGGACTGGGACGTTGTGACGGTCCCTCAGCTTGCTGCCTTCCAGCCGGACATCGTCATTGCCGCAGGTACCGCCCAGCTTAGGCCACTGGAGTGTGGCCTCCCTGAAGCTCCACCTGCCTTTCAGTGCTGGGAAGGGGACAGTGAGTGCTGCCTGGTGGGAGGAATGATGGGATTTGGGTCGTGTGGGCCTCCAGGGTGACATCAAAGCACAGAGCGTGCCTCTTGGGTGCCCTAAAGCCACAGCCCTCCCATTTGAGACAGTGGCCATGCCTACTGCCACGCTAATCGTCCATCCTATAAAGGAACCAGCTCTTCCCAGCAAGGCCTGCGATGAACAGAACAGGCCCCAGGGCACCAGACTAGGGTGACCAGTCTTAGCCAGGCCACAACCCAGTGGACAGACTTCACGTCCCTCTCCAGCAGCCTGAGGGAGGCCTCTCAGTTGCCATCCAGAACCTAAATGAATAGGCCAGAGCAGCCCCACAAAGCAAGGGAGCCGAGCTGGCCCCACCTACACCCCCTGTCTTCAGATGGGGGCGGAAGTGGCCACAGCAGCCTTATCCTTTCAGGACCACAAAGAACGGCATGATCCTGATTCCTCTGCATGCCCTGGGCCAGGCCGAGGGTCGGAGAAGGAGCTCTGGGTGCCCCCACCTCTGTCAGCACCTGCTTCCTTCTCCGTGCACACTTGTGTGTCCCTGAGGCCGAAGGCTCTGCCTGTGTATCTCTGTCCTAGGTCCTCAAAACAAGTCCCACAAGGAGGGACCACCCACTCTGGTGCAAGGATGGGACCCTTGAGGGAAGGGGCATATGGTGTGGGCACCAAAGGGACCGGTGCCCTCCACGGCGCTCACCCAGCCCCATCTGGCCGATGGTACTGTGCTCTGGCCTGGCTGTGGCCCTGAGACCCAGGCCCAGAGCGGCTGGAGCACAGAGGCTAAGCAGCTCACCCCTGCAGGCCCAGCTGGTGGGCGGGAGGGGGCTTGCCCCCCACAGGAAGGAAACAAGAAGTCTGAGGCAGTCAGAGTTTGCTTCATTAAGCATCTTCTAAACAGGCCATAGGCAGAGAATTGATTTTTTCTTTTAAAGGAACACCAGTGAGTCCTGGATATTTTTCATGTGTTGCAGTGTCTTTCAGCAGCTTTCTCTGCTAAGGGTTTTTCTTTTTACCCCCGTAATTTTCTTACCGTCCAACAGCACGAACCTAATAGAACTGCTGCTTTCCAGGCCTTCACCCTGCTGCCCATGTCGGCACAACCCAGAGGCCTCTATCCTGGGGTCCTGGAGGAGCCCCTTCCAGTAACCTGGGGGTTCTATCGCAGATGTGCTATATTGCCCAGAAACTGTCCTCTCCCTGGTCGGGGTCCTGCAGAAGCTCTCTGCCTGCCAGAAGGACCAGCGGGTTCCTGACGCCTACGTTGCCTTCACCATCCGCAACCCGGAGACACGTCAGCTGTTCACCACGGAGCTGGGTGAGCCCCGGGCCCCTGGCCGGGCTGCTGACTCTGAGGGGCTGCCACCCAGGCCTGCAGGGCCACTGCACTGGCCACACACAGGACTCCAGGGAGGCAGAAATCAGGAAAGTAAAAGAATGGGGCCCTGGAGACAAGCCAGGAAGCCCCAGACCACAATGTGCTGGGCCAATGACCCCCCACCCTCTGCCCAGGAGGTCAGCAGAGGAGCCAGGGCCAGGGAGTTGGTGCTCTGGGGAGGAGATGGCTGACGCAGTGATCTCAGAAGTCTGAGACCAGCAGTCCTACTGTGTGTTTAGGGCAGGTTTTCAGAGACTTCAGGCCTCAGTTTTCTTTCCTGTAAAATGGAAAGGATGGTGGATGCCAGCTGGTATCAGGGTAGATGAGTTCTGGCCACACAGCAGTCAGGTGCAGGCTCTGGAGGTGGGTCCCAGGTGGAGCTGGGCCACCCCTCTCCAGGTCTTCATTCATTGTACAGCAGAAACATCCACCTCGGGGGTGGGACAGGGCTGGCACGAAGGGTGTGCTCGGGAAAACGGCAGCTGCTGTTACTAGATCAAGCACACAGTAAATGGAAGAGTGAGGGATGCTTTAGAGAAGGGGGTGGGGTCTGCCTGAGTTGCCACTGCTGCAGGCGGGCACTGTTCTCAGACCTGACCTGCGTCAGCCCCTCTAGCACCTGTGGGGGGGGGGGTGCTGCCGTCCTCTGTCCCACCCGTGAAAACACCGGGGTGCAGGGCAGCTGAGTAATCACCCAGGCACCCATGGACTGAAGCCAGGCAGCTGGCTCCCACTCTCCACCCCCCACCCCATGACCCCCACTCTGCAGTCCTCACCACGACCCAGGCCTGATCAGGGGTTCCCACACATGACTGGGCAGCAGTGCAGAGCCCTGTGCTTGCCCCAATGCCCCACCCCCCAAACAAAGCTCTCCCACAGCTGCCTCTGCTGGCAGAGAGGACCAGCGCCCACCCCTGTACAGCGTGTCCCACTGACAGCGGGTGTTCGGCCTCGAGAAATAACGAAGTCCTTCAGATGCTTATGTGAAAAAATATCCACGCTGTATTTTAAGAAAGCTGAGTGCTAAACAGCATATACAGTATAAACTCATTTTTTAAGCTCATTTTTATTTTAAAAAAATAACTGTCATGTTAATACACATATGGGGAAACTCCATACACACCAATTAACATTATTATTAACATGTTATACCCGGACGGCAGTATCATGACACTTAATACACTGTATGTCTAGTATTTCATTCTTATAAATACTAATTTTTCATTCCTAAAAAACGGATGACAAAACAATTCTTGCCAGGGGCGCGTCAGACATCTGTGCTTACACAGAGGACGTGAGCCCCTCTGATACAGGTCCAGCCTCTGAAGGCACCAGGCTGAGCTGTCAGGCAGACGTGGGTTCAAACCTCAGCTCCTACTAAGCTGTGCCCGGTAACAGGATGGAGGACCCAGACGGGGCCATGACTTTCCAGGGATGCACACGGCCCAGGGGGCAGACGCAGCAAACCTGGCTGCTGTGAGCTGCTTACAAATGGGATTCCTGGTCCCACCCCTGGAGGCTGATTCCAGGTGTCTGGATGGGGCCTGGAAATCTGTAGTCTGTACCCCCCACACACACCCCCAGGCCTGTCCCAAAGCCCCACACTGATAGGGTGGTGTCCCATCTCCAAACCCCACATCCTGAGACGCATATGTTCTGTCTCCAGGCCGGGCTGGAATCCTGTGGGAAGAAGTGCCTCGTCACGACCAGAAACTGTTTCCCTATGAAGAGCACTCGGAGATGGCAATTCTGAAACTAATGCTGTAGATTTATAAATGGTTTTGAAGAATAATGTGAAAATTAAATCACTGTTCTGGAAAGAATGTGATAAAACTTGCACTGGACTTGAATGTTTGAAGAATGTTAAATTCTGAATCGGGAACCACAGACTGTTCGAATAAAATATAAACTGTTCAAGCGTGTAGACCCCTCTCTGCCAGCTGGCTTAGTCCTTAAGAAAATCACCATAAATCAGAAATGAAATTTTTGGCTCAGAGATAAGCATTTCATTCGCGCAAATAAAAAAACAAACCAAGTATGTTCCCCCCAACCTGGATGCAAATCCCTCGGGGAGCCAAGCCCGCTGCACACGTGGCACATCTGACTGCCCTTGCAGGGCGGTGGGCTGCAAAGTCTGTTTTCAAGGCAGGAATCAAAATATTAGGGACACAACCAAGCAATTCTGGGAAAGGCAGACACCAAGAGAAAAAACAAGGATGCAGAGATGTTCAAGACGACACAAATAACAGAAAAGTCATAAACTGGGGGAAAGAAAGACTCATAAGACAGGAAGAGAAAAGAGAGAAGGGATTCAGAGCCTCCAAAGATGAAAGCAGGCTGAGCCAGCTTCCTGGTCAACAAAAACTCCTGATTATTAAAAGTAACTTCATTCCCCAGGCAGTGCCCACTGCCAGCCTTTCAGCTTCCATCCACCAGGAGGCGCTGATCTACAGAGTTTGCGCAGGGACTGGCCAGCAGTGGCGGCTGTGAGGAGGGGAGTGTGGGCCAGCTCCTGGGGAGAAAGATGAAAGGTAAGGAGGGGTGTCAGCTTGAGGGTCTCTCCATGACGTCCAGCACAGGACACCTCAGGAGTTTCAGTCGTTGGCCCGAGGGGTCACGTGTCCGTAATCAAAGGGAGCACTGTCCGCTTCCAGCTCTCATCCCATCGAAGCTGCTCTGACTCCCGGAGGTTCTTGCAGAACTGGTTCAGTTTGCCAGCAGGATCAGGAAACTTTGAGAAAAGCATCTAGAAGACCAGAACTACCTCATCACTGCTTCCTGCCCCCACCCCAGGTTCCACCCCAAGCTACCCCTCCTCCTTCCCAGCAGCCCAGGCTCCTGCTGCACCCCAAGCCCAGCTGCCAGGCCAGTCATTCTGCCAAAACCCTCCCTCCTTCACTGCACTTCCAGAACCACCACCAGTGTCCTGGGGTCTCCAACGGGACGCCCGCTCTGGCCCAGCTTCCACACCAGGCCTGGCTAACTAACCCTTCTCAACAGCTCTGACCCCAATGTCCCTGACCCAGCAAGCCCCCCTCCCTCACCAGGCACAGGGGAGCCTTCATGGCCCAGCTATGCTCTATCTCCTGCTCTGCTCCGACCTGATGGCACAGCCAAGCTGCAGTGTTCACCATCCACACCCCATGCTCTGCCGGCAGCCCCCCGCCTCTGCCTCTGCGATGCTCTGCTGTTCCTTCCACCAAGAGCTGGCCTCTACCCAGCACTGTCCTGCCCACGTACTGAGAACTAGGTGATGCCTGCGTTCTTTCCAGCTCTGCTAAACTAAGGTGTCTGCAGACGCCAGCCTGTGGGCTGCATGCAGCCCTCCGCCTGTCTTTGTAAATAAAGTTTTATTGGAACATAGCCACACCCCTTCATCCACAGATTGTGGATGCTTTCACGTTACAACAGGGTTGAGTAGTTCTGACAGAGACTATGGCAAAGTCTAAAATGTTTTTTTCCTGAGCCTTTCCAAAGTCTGTTGCCCTTGGTCTCAATGATCAAAAATGATGACGTGTTACTTTTTGTAATTTGTAATAAGAAAGAAGTATCCTTTGAAGATGCCCACCCATCTCATAAGGCCGGTCCAGGAAGCTCCCTCGCTCCTCACTCTCCCTTCTCAGATCCAATCACCCCCTAAATGGCACAGTCCACCTGGCTCTAGCATCATTGTGTGGTGTGAGCTCCATAAACCCAGACGGCAGGTGGGGCGAGCCCTGATCCCTCCGGGGCCCAATGGGGCCCAGCCTCTGAGACCGCTGCTCGCTCACCCATACACAGCCCAGGGCCACCCACCCAGCTGCAGGAACAAGGAATCTCCAAAACCCTGCAAGCCGCTGTGTGGGAACAGACACGCTACCTGCAGCTGAGCTGCCAGCTCCTCTGAGTCCTCGAAGACCAGGCCATTTTCCTCGTGTTTCACAAGCTCGTGTAAGCTGCAGAGAGAATTAGGGGAGGTCTGAGAGCTGCCTGGAGGAGATACAGAACCCAAGGTGCCCACCTGCTCCCCCCCAATTCCACCCCACCCACAGGCTAAGCTGGAGGCAGGAACAGTCTGGTTTCAGGAAGCCTGTTCTTAGATTTGGCATCTGAATAGAAAAAAGACCTGGCAGGATACACATTAAAAATCCAAACCAATTTGGGGAAGGAGGGACAATACAGGGGTATGTGGACTTTTTGTGCTACATGCTCTCTTCAGTGAGAACGTTCTTAGTAAGTTCTGCCTTTTTTTTCTTAATTCCACAGCAGAGAAACCAGGTAAAAGGCAGCCCTGCTGGAGGCAGGCTCAGAGGTGATCAGGGGGCTGATCCCAACACTATCTGAACCCGGGCTCCAACATCCTGGATTTCCCATTCAGAAGCTGGCTCCTCAGCTCATGGTGGGGCCACTGTTTCTAGAACCTTTTCTAACACTACCGTCTCCAAATGCCCTCTCCTGCCCATCTTTGCCAGGAAGAGCGGAGACAGAAATACACTCATTCAACTGATTCGAACACAACTACATGAGCTCAGACTAAAGGGACAGAGAGAGAAATAAGTCCATGTGAGCTGTGCGGGCAATTCCAGCCACCATTGCACCCTGTGAGCACAAGCCCCCAAGTAGAGTACTTAAGACTCCAATTTGTATTCAACACGAGCTCTAACTGGAAGCCACCCTGTCTGGTGGGGCCCAGCCCGCCCACAGGGACCAGAGGGCTCCTGCTCCCTCTGGGTGGCAGAGCTGCACAGATGGGGAGGTGGAGCCCTCCAGGAAGCTTTCCCGGGCAATTCTGCTGGTTCCCCCCAAGCTGCTGATTTGATAACCTAACCCTGGGAGAACTGGGTTTCTGCTCCTACCACTGGAAGTTCACGGCACACACAGGCAGGCAGCACCCGAACATGTCCACCACCTTCATGGGCAGGTCCAGGCCACTGGAGGACCGGTGTAGGCAGACGCCCAGGTCCGCAGACCCTGCAGGGCGAGGATGAGGGGGCCATCAGCTCTGGCTGTGCGCCCGGTGGCCACACATCCTGCAGGACTGTGGACCGAGGCCTGCGGGGAGGAGTGGAAAGGGGGTGATAAAGTCCCCAACCCCACGTACGACTGCCTGGGGTTGGCCGAGCAGCCTGGCAGGAGGCTGGGACACGGAGGTGCTTCCCACCTGCCGCTCCTGGCCTCTCGGCCCTTTCTGAAAATGACCTGCCCGTCACCAATGTTTTTCTTTAAACTGACCCCCTTTTTCTCCTTAACCACGCTGTATTTTAAAAGAAGCCGCAGCAATGATTGCTTAATGGGTTCTGAGTTTCTGCTTGGGGTGATGAAAATGTTTTGGCAAGAGACAGTGGCGGTGACTGCAAAACACTGTGAGTGTAATTAATGCCACTCAATTGCATACACTTAAAAATGGAAAAATGGTTAAAATGGCAAATTTTGTTATGTGTATTTTATCACAAAAATTAGAAAAAGAATCCAAAGCAGACCCAACAGAAAACAAGCTGTCGCTGTGAATATAAAGCCAAGGAAGCAACCGTACATCACTCAGTGCCGCTGGAGCTCCTGCCTACAAAGGCTCCCCGCCTCCCACTCCGGAGACAGCTTAGTGGCTGCTGAGACCTATAGGCACCCAGCCAATAAGCCCTCCCCGAGGGATCAACAATGCAAAAGAAGGGAGGGCTGCCCCTTCACACTGGGAGAGTCCACACTGTTTACCTCGTGGTCTCTGTACCTCCCAGACTTGGGAATTGACCCCAACCCAAGCCCCGCCCAGCCCTTCTGCCCAAGGGAAGTGCAGGGTGAGTGGAGGGCGTGGAGGCCAAGAGCACTCGGATGTAACCTTGGCAAACAGGCAGGGAGGAGATGGCACACCAGGAAACAGCCTCGTTCTCCCAGAGTCCAGCCAGGGCCCATCCCAGCCCGAGACCTACATGTGTAGGGCCCCTGAGCAGACAATGGCTTGAAATCATTAAAGGGTTAAAAAAACAAAGAATATGCCAAAGAACCTGGTAAAACATTCATTGTCTGGCCCTCTTCAGAAAAACTCTGTCCCCTGCCCTCAGGTACTCCCTTATAAACCCCAGCCCTCCCCCTGCAGGCCTCTTACCTAGAAGCAAGGGGTAGTCCTCGGCCTCCAGCCATGGGGTACAGACCTGGATGTGCTGGAAATGCTTCTGGCAGATGAGGCGGCTGTAATACTCCTTCAGAGGCCCTTTGCCTTACAGAGAAAACCGGAGTCACTGCACTGGGCCCACGTCTGGCCCTGTCCCCCAGCCCCAGGCCTGAGAAGCCCCTGCAAGGGCGTGAGCGGAAGGCCCACAGGCAGCAGCTCCAATCAGGCCCCTATCCAGACCCCTTCCAGAAACGACCCCCAAGGGGTGTGCACCTTGACTGCTGAGGCCATGGCCATTCCCCCAGCAGGCCTTGGGCTGGGAACACAGCCAGGATAAACTCTGGCCAGGCACCAGAGTGCCCACCAATACAGCTTCTCACACAGACTGCCCCTGTGCCCCGCCCAGATCCCCAGGTGGCACAGCATGAGCAGTGGGCTCCTGCCGCCCCTGGGCGTCCGAGGGCCTGGAGGAGAGGAGTGTCCAAGGTGGGGCAGCTGGCTGAGGACCCTCCTCCTCCAACCAAATCTCCTCTGCCTCTCTCTCTTCACCCGGCTCCTTTGGAAACAGTTTGACATTGGACAGCAGACTCTCATTTTTAAAAAAAAAGATACGTGGAAACCACTGTGAAGTAGAAAGCTCAGAATCTCTGAGGTCACGCTATCTGAGATTGAAATCTAGACTCCATGCTCTGCCATGAATCCCTTCTGAGCCTCAGCCTCCCCATCAAGCTGGTGTAGAAAACCATACATCACTGAGTAGGGGTGAGAATTAACGAGACAACAAACATCACAGGCCTGACATGCCTCCACTGCCCCGTTTAATACAG